AAGCATGCTATACAACCACACCTGGTCACCACTTTTGCCTCTCGCTTTCTAGTATAGTCGTCTTTCGGTCGTCTGCGGAATCCCTCGCATGTGCACACCCATTCCCTGTACTTTATGATATCATCAGCGGTTTTGCGTTTTACACCTTGTTTCCTAATGCCAAAACCAACTACACCGGCATACGTTGTGTAGAATTTCTCTGCATCATCAAGACTTTCGAATACTAGTTGTCTGACCGCATCCTCATTGATATTATCAAAATTGAAATCAACCGAATCACCTATATCATTAATACCGTGATAGTGGATATCATCATCCTTACTGTCATGCATGCAATTACTTTCATCGTTATTAGAAGGTGAAATTGGTTTCTCATTTGTAGTATCAAAATCCATCGTCCCTACAACATATGATTTTGAAAAAAATAAATAAAAGGATTTTCACTAAAATTTCTAATATAGGATAAAAAAAATTCTAGCAGGTATTTAGTTATAATTTATAATTCAAGAAAGTTAAAAAATGAACTCTCAAACTATTAGAGGACCCTTCTTCATTCACTTATTAAAAAAAATTATGAAATAGAGCAACAATATGACAAAGAGCTTTAGACCAATTGATATGTATTGGAAATCAATAAAATTTCATTGTGTCTTTTTATATATATGGGACTTGGTGTTGATGAACTTGTGTTCCGAGTTGGTGGATTCATATACCAAGCAATTGACAAAAAAATATGTGTTTCTCTTCTTAAGCTTCTAAAGCTGCAAGTAATTCACAAGGTTCAAACTCAAGTATCCAACTACCACAAAAACAAAAAACAAAAAAAAAAACAAAAAAAATTAATTGCAAAACCACTTAACTATCTTAAATTCAAGTTTTCGAGCTACCACAAAACAATTGTATTCAAAGATAGCAAAATCACTTTAAGTGCCACACCACTCTTCAGAAACATGTTTAAATACATAAACATAGATGCAACAGGGCCAACATAATAAAATACAGTAGAATTGATTGTGGAATCGATATAACAAAGAAAATATAAAATAAGAATTTAAATCCGATACTTACCAAATTACAGAGTTGAGTCTTTGGAAATCTTCTCGTGGTTGACGGCCCACTCTGGCGTACGTGGTGCCTCGAATCTCGATGAATCTTGTTGTTGAAATCCCGCTCTCCCAACGAAGAGATCTGAACAAAAAACCTGACGCTCTCGAAGGGTGTGTACAAAGCTCGCTTCTAACCCAATTCAAATAATAATCAACCTGAATTTAGTAGAATACCTCCGACATCCCCAATAAAAGTGTAGATTTTTATGGAAGTTCTCCTTGAAAAAAAAGCAACGAAACACTATTAACGTTACCAGATCGCAAAAATCTGCTATATGTCGCCGTGGAAACCGGATGAACACCGTGGCAACCGGATGAACAAGGCTGGTCGGCGGGCGATGGGATGATAATTGGGCAGTCGGGGTTTTAGGAATTGGAATTGATTTATTTGTGGGGAGAGATGCCCAATCGTTCGCCGAAAGAAGAGACGCCGGTATTGATTTATTTGTGGGGAGAGATGCCAATCGTTCGCCGGAAGAAGAGACGCCGCTGAGAGAGGAGAAAGTTTTCAAACACAGAGCAAGAAAACTTATTTTCTCTGTAATCGATGATTATAAAAATTAGGTTATTATTTAATGATAATTATTCATCTCATTAAAGTTTAGTTATTAATTATTAAACTATGCATCGTACATTTTTTTTTTTATTAAAAATTAGGTTATTATTTAATATTTAAGTTTTAATTATAAGGGTTTTAATGTAATTTTATTTATAAGATAGGCATCGTACATTTTTTTATTGGGTTCGTACTAATCCTACATGGCGCAATTCTATTGGCTAATTACGGTCCGAGAAGTACAACCCTCTCGGACCCTAGACAACCCCAAAAAAGATAACAAAGGGATATTTGATTCTGCTGCTACAGAGGACGCAACACGCACGTGTGTCTCCTTCCTTCCAGATCTGAATCACGTGTTTATATGCTCTTCTTGCACATGCACACAAACCGTTTACAGTTGATTGGGTCCTTGAGGATATACATATATAATTCCGGTTTAATTTATGGATACTTTTCGTCGAAAAACTCGTCTATGTTCGATTTTTTGTTGATATATCGAATTTATAAGTTTTAACACGTGTCTTTAATTTGTTACGTTTGATAAGTTTCTGCTCCAAATCGAGTTATGTCTTATTACATCTCTCCAACGCGCTCACTTTTTAATTAGCGGCAAGGGCATTTTAGTCTAAAAATATATATTTAAAAAAATGAAGCCACATTAAGATCCTTAATCAGTATGCAAAGCTAAAAAAAGACTATTAAGTTTATTAGTACTTTTTTTTTAGTTAAATTAGTTCAAAATATATTATTATTATTATTATTATTTTATTATTATTTCTAGACATAAATTGAACATTTGACTAATTAAATAATTAGTGAATCAGTCAAAAAAATATTCTACTTTGAATAAATTCAACCACACGACGAAACAAATGCATAAATAAATCGCTCTCTTAAGGAAAAGGAAATTCTCTCTAGTCAAAGCTGATAGGCTCTCAGCAAATAGTATGTATACTTTTCTATATGTTTTCTTCTGCATTTTATAAATGTGCTGACTTCAATTTCATTTTGAATAAATCATTTCTTGATGCGATGTCACAACTGCCAAAATAATCAAGTGGGTTGAAACTCGGATTGGACCGATCACTTGAATCGGTTAAACCGCAAATTATTGTCTTATTTGGTCCGGTTTGACCGGTTGAACCGTAATAATGGAACCTGAGTGAAAATTGGGGGGTTTTTTTTTTTTTCCGTCTAAAATTGTGTTTTTTTTAAATAAAAATAAACAAATAAAATAGCTAAAACAACGTCTTTTTACTGCCTGGTTGAATTTTTTTTTGAATCAAAATAAAAAAAATTGAAATTCGAAGACATGTTATTTTTTATTTATAAAATACTTGAAATGATTCGCCGTAATATGTATGTGTTGATATGTTGTGTGTCTAAAAGAAAAATGAGTTTGATTTATATTTTAATTGGAAATGAGTTATGAGTTAATATGTGTGAAAGAAAATATGCTTTATTTACTGTAAAAACTATGTATAAATAATTATAAAATAAAAAATGAAAAGACCCAATTGGACCCCAGTTGAACCGATACGTAACCCAGTGACCTGTTCGGGTCAATGTTAAATCAAATAAACGGAACTTCTTCTTATTTGATGGTGATTAAAGGTTACATCAAAATAAAAAAAATATATTAATGGCATGGCACATAAAATATAAAATATGTTTCTCGTGGTTGTTATGCTATTAATTTAGTAGGATTAATACTTGCAAACTTCATTACACGGTCAAATTTAACAAGATTTTGTCTTCTATTTGTATCATTGATTGAGAGTCTAAATTAATTTATTTATTAGAAATTATTTCTACTTCAATAATTTGTTAATTTCCCACAAGCTGTACTTTTAAAACTTACTAGTATACTTATTTTACGAATTTTCTAAAGTCTTGTTTGATTGAGCAGATTAGTCATTATTAACTAAATTATATGACTTTGTTTGTTGTTTTTGTATCTTCAATTTGTGGGATCGTACCACAAATATTATATTATTATAGTTTATATTGCTTATCATGTTTTCAAGATATATTTTTATTGAACGTATTGAGATCTAATAAAAGAATTGAATTTTCATTCGATTATTAAAAAAAAATTCGTGAAACGAAATACATGTGAAGATAGACTTGAAAAGTGGGTAAGAAAGAGCCAAAAGAGTAAAAAGAGCGTGAATTTTACGCTCCAAAAGAGCGTGAATAATATATGTGTATATATTTAAAAGAGTAAATTACTACCAACTCCCAAGGTATGCCAAAATTACAAACATTCCACACTTATTTGCAAAATTACAATCATTCCTTTAGATATTTCACGGCCCTAACAATCTTTCCTTATCGTGTTAAAATTCCAAGAATATTCTTTCAAATACTCCAAAAAAAATTTCCTTATAATTAATTTTAGGGGTGCGTGCATTAGTAAGATTCTTAATTAATTAAGGGTCAATTGTAGTGTTTTTGATAATAAATTTTCCAGTAAATTTATTAATCTTCTATAATTTAAACATTTATAATCTCTTGTCAGGGACTTCGCGAGATAGACGATAAGGTTGAAGGGTGTAACTAAAATTTCCTAAACAATAGAGCGTTGTTTGTAAATAGTACATACCATAGGGGTTGTTTTGTAATATAGGCTGTTACAAAAAACAATAAAATAATAACGTTACAGAAATGTGTAAATCAGTGAAAAAGTTCCCATGTAACGCGTGTCCATTTGCCAGCTGCATCCCATTTCCCCCTATTTTCAACTCAACCGTTTTCTCTCTCTCTCTCTCTCTCATATATATATATATATATATATACAGCCCTCTGTATTGTATCTAACATCATATGAAACTCACAAAAATTACAGAGAGAGAGAGAGAATAAAAATCCAGTCTTTAATTCCAACATTTAATGTTTGTCTGAAACTCTCAAAATTAAAAAAAAAAAAAAAAAAAAAGAATGGCAGGAAATATGGATCGGATAAAGGGCCCGTGGAGCCCGGAAGAAGACGATCTATTACAGTCGTTGGTTCAGAGGCACGGCCCGAGGAACTGGACCCTGATAAGTAGATCCATACCCGGAAGATCCGGAAAGAGCTGCCGACTACGGTGGTGCAACCAGCTCTGCCCGCACGTGGAGCACCGCCCCTTCACGCCGGAAGAAGACGACGCCATAATCCGGGCCCACTCCAGGTTCGGGAACAAGTGGGCCACCATCGCCCGCCTCCTCTCGGGCCGGACCGACAACGCAATCAAGAACCACTGGAACTCCACCCTCAAACGGAAGTCCGCTTCTCTCAGCTTCAGCTCCGACGGCGGTGGTGGTGGTGTCGGGTCGGAGCGGCCTCTGAAGAGATCCGTCAGCGCCGGGTCGGGTCTGCCTGTGTCGGGTCTTTATTTGAGTCCGGGCAGCCCTTCAATCTCCGACGGTTGCAATTCGAGTCTGCAGGTGGTGGTGCCGCCGATTGACGACCCGCCGACGGGTCTAAGCCTTTCGCTTCCGGGAGTCGAGTCAACTGAGTCGACGACCAGTCACAGGACTGAGTCAACTCAGCCGAAAATGAACCCGGTCCAATTGACGCTGCCGCTTCTGACCACTCCGCCGCCGCCGCCGCCGCCGCAGTTGGGTTTAAGTAGTGAATTAATGGCGGTTATGCAGGAAATGATAAGGGCGGAGGTGAGGAGTTACATGATCATGGGCGGCGTAGAGCAACAGCAGAAGATGGGAATATGCGTTCAGCTAGGAAATAATGCAAATGAGGGATTTAGGAATAACGCCGCCATGAAAGGCGTCGGGATTAGCCGGGATTGATTAATTTATCTTTATCTTGAAAAAGAAAATAGGGAAATCAGAAAAATAAAGAATTAATGTGGAACGGTTTTTGAATTAAAAAAAAAAATTGTCCAAAAAAAATAATTTTGGTCCTGTACAGTGGTCACAGAAGCTTCTTAAACTAATATATATATATATATATATATATATATATATATATATATATATATATATATATATATATATATTATTTGACAATTTCTTCTTTTAGAAATTCCTTTTCCTTTCAAAATAAAATGAAAATATGACAATGGTGATTGGACAATTGCTCTCTTTTGTTTGGGATGGAACCGGGCCCGGCCCGGAACCGTGAACATGGAGTACCGTCCGGTTCCGATTTCAGTATTCTCCGACCCATGGACTTACACACTCGAGATTATTAAGACCCGTACCAGCCCAGATATCAACATGATTAGCATATTCAGAAAAAATCAACTTTTCTTTTTCCTGAAATTGAAAACAAATTCCATTTGAATTTTTTTTTTCCGACATAATTTTAAAATTTTGAAACGAATTTCTTTTGTTTTTTTTCTCGGTATTTTCGGTAAAAACCGCCGACAACTTTGAAATTTTGAAGGGGAAATAGGAAACAAAGGAAATCTTGGATTACAACAACAAATGCCTGTTGATTTTAAGGTAAAAAAAAAGCCTATGGAAACTAACAATGTTGTTGCTAGTTGGTCCAGATAATATTCTATACCAATAATACACTTTGTGCTATAATAATAACCTGATATTATGGTACATAAGTTCGGTAGAGTCAGTTATCCTTATTACCTTTGCTACTTCCCTCGGTAACTTTAGGGCCATCATATACAGCAACGAAGAAAGTGCTCTCGTTATTTTGCAGAAACCTAATATCGGACCACAAAACACAAGTTAGTTCTAATTCGTCGGTTTAAATATTATTTTTCTGCATCGATCAGTATGTAATAGCCAGAACCAGAGGAATAGGCAAGAAATTGAACAAAAACATTTTAACAGAGCTTCATACTTGAGAAAATCGAGCAATTTCTGCTGCAACCGAATCAAAGTCTCCTCTTCAACTTTCACATATCCCAACAACTCGGGCAACTTCACTGCATAAGATAAAACCAATAAACTAATTTCTACTATTGTAATAACAAGACAAGATATAAGGTTTTCATAAAATACACAGGTCCGTGAAAAACGCAATTTCCTAAAATAAAACAGCAGATAAAGCATACCAAAGAGGCGCAACAAATGTTCGGCTCCGTATATACTTGATGGAGATGTATTGTCTGAAATTGCATCTCGGCATTGTTGCCGCTCTTTCTTGTACAAAAGAATGGTCGGTAATGCTTTGTCGAAATAGCCTCGTAACCCGTTCAAAATTTCCCCAACGGCCTCAGTCATTCTGTAGTCATGGAAAAAAAATATTATCTAGGATCATAAATGAAGTAATGCATATTAAAATAACGAGACAGAAAAAAAAAACACCGCAAAAATTGTTCAGACCCAAGAGAAATTTGGAGACAAGAAACTTACACGCCATCCTTCTTGGACTTGTACTCGAGATATTTTCTCAATATATCATCAACAGTTGGAGATCTTGGGAGTTTCACAAGCTGCATTAAAAGGGACATAAGAAATACCATTTAGCTTGTGCTATAAGACAGACTAAAACTAATTTACAAAATCTAGGTTGGGGGAAGGCGTAAAATCTCTAGCAAATTAAATAAAAGTACCTTGTTCTGCTGAGTAATATGCTCCCAATCATCAACCAATTGCTTCTTCAGATTTGGTGGGATATGGATCTTGATGAGTTTATCTGTTGCTGGATTTTCCTAACAAAGCAAACGCCAAAACATGGGCCATCAATACAACATAAGATTCTCGTTTTTAGCATTTGACAGCATCTTCAAATGGACAGTATTAAATTAAAACTTCTGTTAGAGGGCAAATGATGAACATAACAGTTGAAAAAAAAGAAAAAGAAAACCAGAATTTAGCAAGTGGGACGAATCAGAAAAAACTACTAACTTCCAATAGAAGAATTGCAACTAATTAAGCTGCAGATACATAGCATCTTTAACCATATGGAGACAATTAGGCACTGTAGGGAAATCAACTTCTCATAGTTCAAAATATATATATTACTTTCGTATTATAACTCTCTTAGCTTTTACCTAAGCCCTTATTTTTCAAAGTTAACAAATATTGATCGTGAGGAGGCATTGAAGAAGAAAACTACGCATGAAAAAGATAGACAATTAGACAAACCTCAATGCCTGAATCAGCCTTTCGTTTCTTCCCCTTTGCAGCTACAGTATCACCAAGAAAAATATGTAAGTTCGTTTACAGTACGTGTTTACTAGAAAATATATAAGGTTTATGACAAAAATGTTGTCGTCCAATCAAGACAATGCCTAATACTACTAAGTGAAATATAATCTAATTTAGGCCACTAAAAAACAAACCAAGGGAATATAATCGTTTATGTCAATGCTAAGATGACCCCAGAAAAAAAAAACAAAGAATCACTTGAATTTGCTAGATTATTGGTGCAAGTACTGAAACCTACATGTAGTCTTCGGCTCGTCTTTATCAACTTTAGCATCTGCAAAAAGCCCACAACACCAAATAGCGACAAAGTTAATACAAGAAATACCAGCTGTCAAGAATTGTACAGAGTTATTATCTGATAAAGACACACACCGGCTGAACTTTTTGGTTTTGTATGCGCTGAGCGCCCAGATTTAGTATTCTTGTCAACACCGGCTTTCTTATCAACAGCCTGTTGCTTCAAAATATTCTCTTCGGTATGTTTCATCAAGCGATCCTTGCCTACCCATTCATCCCAACTAATCGGCAACATATTAAAGTTAGTCTTTCTGTATGATTTCCAAAATAAGTACCATTCTCTTTCTTTGAAATTGTCAACTGTTAAGAGAGTCAAAAAAAAAAAAAGATTAAATAAATGCTGCTACGGTGTACTCACTTTTTGTTCCAGCCCTGCAGAAAATAAAGAATCCATTAAGATATAACCACACAACAAAATGAAAGCAGTAATGAACAACAAAAACCAGACGGCCTGTTGTTAAAAAAATGAAAAGCTGGTTATCACACTTACAAGGTAATGGACAAAATATCTCCATTCTTTCTTCCGGATTTCTGCCTTTTGAACCTGACATACAGCAAAAGGAAAACCAAAGAAAATTACTATTTTTAACGTAGAATGTGCAGCGTAAACGGCACATAAATGCTGAAACAGAGTGAGATCCTCAATAATGATCCCATTAATAAATGATTCATAAATTGATATCAGTGACAGAGATGCACAAATCATATACCACGTTTAAGCCTATTTGGTGCTGCATAACATTCATTGGCATTGGAATTACATCTCATTACACTAACATGTTTCCAAATGCTACAAAAAAGGGCTTTTTTATCAAAGGGGTAATACTTCAGAATATATGGACAGTAACAGAAAATTGTTTTGGTATATATCCCTTCGAAAACAAGGCAGCATTAAATTGGATAAGTACATAGTATTTTGACGTCACGTTCACTCAGAAACAACCAAAATAAAAAATTGTAATACGTGCCACATTTAGACGTTACGAATGTACAACTTAACATCGCATTCATTTATGCATCTATAGTTGAAAATCGATATGCGCAAGGAAGATATTCATGTACAAGACCTATAAACACATGCCAGGGCACAAATGCATATGACATGCAGTGCAGTCATATATATACACAGATCATCGATTAATATATCCACATCCCCATTCACAAAATTAAAAGGACAAATATTTTCAAGTTAGAGATGCAAGTCTAATCCCCTTCCCTGTATAGATAAATCATATTGCTACAGTGAAACACAGAATCCTAAAAAGAAATTCGAACATCTATTCCACACTCATCATTCAAAACATGCCGTGCTAACAGAATATCAGCCTGGAATAAGCCACGCATAATTGATGACAACGTGCAGATTAACCTCCTTACTTAAATAGGAATCCGTCACACTTTTTTACACACACTAACACACATTCAAACCACCAGGCTGCACACCTAATACACACACACCCGAACAAAAGGGCAATCGTCTCTGGATTGATATGTATCCCTCATTTTATTTTCTACGAACAAAAATCGACATCCAACCACAAAGGCAAGAACACTAGAAATAATTTCGTTAAAAATGCCGATGCTGACATAAATAGAAATACAAATTCCACATCCGAAATCAACTAACCATTAAAAATGATTGCGAACCAACACATCAGAATCAAAGTTCCCAGTCATGGTGATTTAATTTCAAACAAACAAAACGAATAAATTTCCCTACGCCAGTAAATAAAATCAAAATAGTTGCAAAAAAAGAAAACAAACTAGAAGCATCTTAATCAAACAAAAAAAACCCAAAAAAAAACCCTAAAATGAAAGCATAATTTAGGGCATGCCTTAGCTTCGTAGATGCGGGGACCGTGAAAGGCGAGAACCTTCTCGCCTTCCGTGAATAGTCTCTTGGAATCGGACTCCGGCGCATCGCCGGAGGAATTCTCGCCGTCGCTCGCCGACTCACCCTTGGAACTGCTAACCATTTTCTCTGCCGGAGCTTTTCTTCCGCAAATCCGGGAATTAATTTCTCTTTCTAGAAATTAATTAATTGATTAATAGTAAAAAAAAAAAAAAACAGAAGCAATTGAGGAATACTGTGTAGATTTAGTTGGCAAAATTGTTGTGCTGTCGCATGTTTTGAGGGGAAGATTTATTTCCCACTTATTTGCTGGTTTCAAAATCGGAAACGGGTCGAGCGGATGTTTTATATGCCAGACGGGTTATACCCGAACCCGCTTCTCCGGATCTCGTTCATATTTTGGACCCAATTGTTTTTATTTTGAAAAAGTATACTGTATTTTTATGGATCTAAGTTTTCTATTTTTTTGTTAATTTGGATTAGAATGTATATGAGATTCTGATTTATGATTTAATTTTAATTTTCAAAAATAATTTTGAAATTTTGATTTTTCTTTCTTTCCTAAAATACGTTTATCGTATTGAATATTTTCTTTTTATTGTTTAGAGAGGTTTTTACATTCCAATTTCTGAGTTTCTATTTTCGATTTTTTTCAGAATTGAAATTAAATTATAACCTTTTTTTGATAAACATCCTAATATTCTTATTAGACTCGTATAAATATACGAGTATTTGTGCTTAAATGTATATTAATGGACCGAGATTCGATTTGATTGTGATTGATGGACTCGAATAGATTCAAACAACGTTTCTCATTTTGTACCGAGCTCCCGGCTAGGCTCAGTATCTATTATTTAATCAAATCGGTTTATGACGAACTATTTTAAATTGTGTAAAATCGAATCAAATCTAATAGCATAGCCCGACATGAAACGAAATCGAGTATAGGGTAAAACTTTAATACTTTAAGATTTCTATTCCATTAAAAGAACTAAATGTATTAATTATAAATCTAGATTACACAACATTCCTTTGAATGGGAGTGCATGTTTACATACAACTCCTAACAAAACGAATTAGAAAACGAAAAAAAAAAATCGGAACAAATATATAACTACATAAACGCATGTAGCTTTGAAATTAGATGTTACACCTGGTTATTTATATTGAGTAGATTTGAACCGTAGATCTACACATAATCACACACAATCATGTGTATGTGTGCTTAGCAGATCTACGATGCAAATTCACCTGATATAAATGACCAGGTGTAACATCTAAATTTATGATGCAGCTAAAGATACATCTCCCTTTAGCCAATGAAGTAATATCTCCAAAGCATCAATGGCTCCCCCCAAAAATCAACAAATTAATAAAGAATGAATATAATAATTATATATGTAAAAAAAATTAAAATAAATATAAATATATAGAAATGAATATCAAGGTGTAGGTAGCTAGTGACCCTCTCCAGGGCTTGGACCAGAGTCTTTAACTCCACCAAGTGTTGTCTTAGTATCTGTAAGCTTATGTCCTTCACCGGGGCTCGGGCCGGACTCCTTAACTCCTCCGAGCGTCTCGACATTTGTAAACTTATGCCCTTCGCCCGGGCTGGGCCCCGCCTTGACGTAGGAAAATCCACCAACAACTTCCGGTGCCGCATTGAGCCTACGGCCCTCTGTTGCTAAGATAATCGAACCAATCACCACCAATATGATCAAGAAATCAAGAACCCTCATATTTCTCATCGACATTATTTATATAGACGATATAATCGATTTTGGAAGTTAACCGATTTTTCGTTCGAAAAATGGAGGATTTTCTTTTTGGTTGTTGGGAAGTTGAATGGATTATTATTTTGTTGGAAAAGAGGAGGATTTATTTATACTAGAGGATTTTGTGGTGTCTATTTGCAACATTCAAACTGCAGATGACGTCATAATTGGAACGTGGAATATATTATAATATATACCAGTGGAGGTATTATATATGAAGTTGCATGGGAGGTTCTGAAATTCTTGAAGAAATAATGGTCGTGAGCTGAAAATTAATATAAGAGATTGCGAGTCTAAGTTGGGTAGCATTTTGAATTCTTAGAGGCTGCATGAATTTGTAATTCTTCATTCATGCACCATAATTCTATTTTTGGGACCACGATTGTATATTTATATATGCATGTGTTTGAATTCAACAAAGATTTTGTTATTTCAAGTTGTAATTTGTTTTGCTTAGTTTAAATGTTTTTTCTTTTTCATTTTTCATTATTAAGGTTCAATATCATGACATCATTTTTAAGATTTATTTTTCTTGATTCAATTCATTGGAATCAATTACAAAGTCAAATATTTCTTGTGATAAATTGGTCAATACATCTTTTAAGATTTATTTTCAACCTCTTAACAACAAACAATATTATATGTCCACTTGCCATGGGGAGTTAATTAGATGTTATACCTGAATCGTAAAATTGATCAAAACATATGGAATTTGATCAATTAAAAGTATTTGGCAAGAAATCATTGCCCTTACCTAATTAGAAAGGTCTTTCATGACGACGGCGTTGTCTAAAGTATATAGCGGTCGGAGTCTTTTTAGAAATTCGAGCGATTCGGTCGAGTGCTTTATTTGAGAGGTCGAGTATCTAATCAAGGCCCAATTTCGTCAAACTCCGAATCCGACAGGTGAGACTCTTGTGTTGGTTGACCAGTCAAACTGTATTTGGATGAGGGATGCCTGCAACTAAAAAATATGTCGACCCGATCGAGAAGATCATTCGAAAGTTTGAGAAGTACTCGGTCAAATGTCATCGTCTCCAAAATTCAGTCGGGTGGAAGTTCGTTGATCGGAGCCAACTTCGGCCTCCCACCCCTGACGTATCGGGGTTCAGATTCCGATTCAAATTCTGTCGGAATCAATTATATGGCCCCTCTGGGTAAGAAGAAGCATATTCAAGAATCGCGATTTTCTCATCGTAATGGCTTTAGGGATGAGAGTTGAGTGGACTCAATGAGTCGATAAAATTCATCCAAATTCATATCGAGAAGTTCTTGAAGTAGGTTGATAGCAAGAATTCTTACAAAAGCACAAAGCTCTTTCAAACTCGACTCCATTTTTTCTACGATCGGAATATAATTTTCGGGATATTGTTTTGTTGGTGATAAAAAATGAATAATGCGTACAATTTTCTTAACTTAAAAAACGTTCGGAATTTCTGGGTTTATGTGTTTTTTGTCGGAACTGCTCCTTGAATCGGATTCGAGGGCGTCAATCAATCTACAAATTCACTAGAACCTCCGTCGACAAGTTCTTGCAATATGTTGTTGTTAAACCTGTTAAATGACATTGGACTTTTGAGTTATTCGGCATTATATTCGGCTTTAAAAGTTCAAATGGTTAAATATAAATTGAATCTATATGTACTATCATCAGTGTCGTATACATTCCCATGTACTATAAAATGTGACAAAGTGATCTTTACCGTCAATCCATGTTAAGCAATCCTTCCCGTTCTAAAGTTGACTAATCATTGCACTAGATGTTGAACAATTTCATAAAATACCACTCTAGTTGTGTATAAAAATTGTGCCTCTTCTTTCTCTCTCGTACTCAATTTACTTCCAATTGTGTTTCATGTTTCTTCCCTAATTTTATTTTCCACACTCTAAAAATTTCACCTAAAATTTATGAATTTCTTTTATTTTGGATAAGATTTTAAATTTCTTTTTAAATTTCTGAAATTTTATAATTTAATTTTCAGCCCAAAAATTCTCAATTTAAAATACTTCTAGTAGTTCTAAATCTCAAAATTCATTCATTTCATTTTTTACGTCCAAACACGAAGTGACATATTTTCCCAGAACCACTTGTCGATACAACCGAAGTGCTACGTAATAGTATGCAAGGATAGAAAGGTAGATATGCTACATAATTAACGACGTTAGCAACTCGAGGGTTGCCCGCTAAAATAAGGGGCCATTTTGTCGCATTTTCTATTACATAGAAGTATATATGACACATTGATACTAGTAATAGGAGGTGGGTGCAGTTACCCAAATTGAAATGAATAACAAAAAATTCATTTCTTGTAATATAATTAAATCAAACCACTAATTTTTCTTCCTTAATCCTACTTAAAACACCATGAAAAGCAACATCAAAAGCATCATTAAAATCCCCTAATCCACCATTAGACAATCCATAAATTAACCTCGGAATAATCTCAATCACTTTCTCTCTCTTCCTCCTAATCTCCTCTTTGCTATACGTCATCAATACCTCCTTTATCGTACAGCTCCCATTCCTCACTTTCTCATGGTCTATAAAAACCGAGTAACTCTCCGGTTCGATCGGCAAGAACCACTGGTACTGGTCGTAAGCGGTCCTCTCCCAGAAAAAAACCGGAACCGAACCGGCCACCATGCAGTCGAAAACCGACCGGCGCGTGAAGCTATCACCCCTCGGCTGCAGGCAAAACTCCGACCCCAAAAGCGTCTCCAGAATCACCGACGAGTCGGTCGAGCACTGAGTCACCGAGCAGTCAACGACTCGGCACGAACCCGGTTCGCTGTAGCAGTACTTAACCAGCAGTCCTCGAAAATCATTATCAACCCAGCCACGTGTCGCGCCTATGAAGGTGAAGAGGCTAGAGCGATTGTAGCCACGCGCGAAGTCCTGCCATTGGTTGAGAGTTTCTGTGGAGCTGGGGTGGAATCCGGTGGGGTAGGGTACACTGACGTCGCGGTCGTCTGAGGGAGCTTTCTCTATGATGAAGCGCGTGACACCACGCATCTCTGGCATGTTGAGGAAAGTGGAGCCCCATATTTTACCCGGGTCGGTTAGTCGCCGGAAATCCCACGTGATTCTTCCGATCGTGGTGAAATGATCCGAGCCGTTGGATTTCCGCCAGTGATTCTGTTTCTGGACCCACTGCAGCATCTTCTCGCAGAGGCGGTCGCGTACGGAGGTGTCGTTCGTCCATAAGTACTTTCCGACGGCGAGTCCGGCGTAGAACGGGATGTAGAACGCCGCCGCCGATTCAGGCTCCGGCGTCCGGCACTTGTGGTTCAGCATACGGTGGTGGAAAATTAGCTCCAAGCTGAACTGATTCGTTCGATACCATGATTCTGCAAGATTCTCCGGCAGGATGCGGCGGAGCTCGGCGGCGCGTGCGCCGTAGCCGTGGTTGGTTCCGATTCCGCATTGCCAGTTCCATGGGTTTAAGTCGGTGCAGTTATGGAGTAGCAAATCTTCGTTGAGAGTGGAAGGGAGGTCGTAGACGTACACTTTGCCAGAGGGGCATTCTTCTTCTCCGGCGACGGCGGATGTACGGACGGTTGGTAAACAGAGGCGTGAACTTCGGGATACGAAAATTACGATAATTTGAATAAGGAAGAAAATTACGAAGAGGAAGAAACAAATTCGGGTCTGTAAAAAGTTGATTGTTTTTGTTGGTTTCTTCTCCGGCGAGTTTGCTGTAAACATAACTGAACTTTTTTCAAGAAATTTTTGCTTGGTCTGAATGAATGAAGAAGGAGAAGTAATGGTTCTTACAGAAGATAGATGATCGCCGACAGACGACAACGTGGGGTTTTATTATTTATTTCTTATATATTTGATCTGTTTATTGGTGGTGGAATTGAATTTTAACCAGAGGGAGATTGGTGCCGACGATTTTTTTATTTATTTTTATTTTTAATGAATGCGGTTAATTTGGAAGGAAATACTTTTTTGGAGCAATAAATGGAAGAATTATAATGGAAAATTCAAAAGTGCCAGATATTTATTCGGGTAATATTTTAATTTTTCTTTAATGATATTTATTTACTTTAAATAAAGTGAAGAGAGAGGTAAAATTTCACTTTACCGTTGCTTTGTGGATGATTTTGAGGAAAAGCAAATTGATATCTTCATTAATTGCGTATCTTGTGGAATTTAATTGGATGTTCCAATTAAGGGTGTAGACGAGCCCGAGCCGGGCTTGACTGTTTCGGCGAGCTCGAGCTCGAATCCATTTTGACGAGCTCGAGCTCTTCGACTATTTCTTTTCTGAACTCGAGCCTGAGTCACTTTGTGTATTTTTTATTAATATTTTTAGAAATGTATTATTATAAATTATAAAAAAATGGAAATATTAAAATAACTAATTTATTTTTTTAATTATTAATTATTTTATATTAATTATATTTAAAATAAAAATAAAGGAATAAAATTAAATAAAAAAGCTCGCGAGTAATTATATTTAAAATAAAAACTAAAAGAATAAATAGAAAAAGGCACAACCGGCTTGCGAACTCACAACTAACTAAAAATGAGCTCACGCTCGACTCATCAGAAAGCTCGAGCTCGAACAATTCGAGTTTGAGTTCGAGCTTTTGTCGAGCCGGCTCGAATCATTTACACCCCTAGTTCATATTAATTGAGTTGTTTGGTTGGCCTTCATATATTTTTTTTTTATTATAATTTATTTAAATCTTTATTTTATTTATTTATTTATTTGTCTTCAAGTGAAGAATATACAAACAAATACTGGGCCGTGTACCTCATAATGGGCCCATTGATTCAAACTTGCTAATGAGCCAAAGGGCCCATTACGGAGCCCATAATGGTGTTTGAATTATTATTAATCACCATAATAATTGATCAATTTTATAACATTCGAAAAAAAATAAACAGGCAAAAAAAAAGGGGCCCATTCTGAAAATAATTACTATTATATCTTAGGTTTAGCATATCAAATAATACTATTAAGACATAATTTTAGTATGGAAATACATCTATTGGAAACTAATTATAAAGAAAAACATTTAGGCTGCGGCTATATGCAAGGCTAAAACTACTTGAGCAAGATCAAATTAAATTTTTCAATGTATAAATACTATAATACCCCTAGTTGTTAAAAAAATAGAAAATTCCAAATGTGCAGGACCAAAATTCAAAAACATAAAAAACTCTATCACAAGACCACAAGACCAACTCTCATCTTCTCCATCTTCCAAAACCCACAAGACTTTTCTCCTTCCTCCTCCATAAACCCACAAAACCTAAACATTCAAAATCATCAAAACTCAACAAATCTTACAAAGATGGCAAGTATGGAGTCAGAAGACATCAAAATAGAAAATTCTACGGTGGAAGAACCCAAGAAGGTAAGCATTTGTGGGTTTTTAGCAAGAATATCGTTTTTCCAAAAAAAATCCCGCGCAAACGAATTCGACATGTACATGTCGAATTTTATGGGTAAAAATCGACATTTAGATGTCGATTTTGAGGCATACAATTCGACATTTGGCAATGTCGAATTTGTGCTATAAATTCGACATGTCAATGTCGATTTTTACCTATAAAATTCGACGCTTAAGTGTCGATTTGTAGCACAGTTTTTCGACACCTTGGTGTCGATTTTTACCAGTTTCGAATTTAATTTGTTTTTCCTTTTTTTTTTTTGTAAGGTTTAACAAAATGAGGAAGGTGGGCGTAGGTGGTGGAGCGGAGCTTGGGGGGCGGAGCTTTGACGGCGGAGAAGGTGGGCGTAAGTGGAGAAGGTGGGCGTATGTAGGGTTTGAGGACGGGGTTGTTTGTTTTTTCAATTCAGTCATTTTTTTTTTCCACATTATTTGTATTTGGTCTTGCATGAGAAGAAAAAAAATATTTAATTTATGGGTATATTTGTCATTTTATCTTAATAAAATAGAATCTTTTGGAATCTTTCTTTAATTTGGTCTTGCACAAGTGGAATTAGTATTGCATATAGCCGCAGCCAAACATTTATTCAGAACTCATATGTTATTTGATCGGTTTTTGTATTAAAAAAAAACAATAAAAAACTTGTCGGTCTAGGGGATATGGACCCTCTGGGCGAGGGATTTCGGCTTTTCGGTGAAGGTATACTAAGTGAAGTCAAATATATAGTATCTATATTATATATAAAACTAAGATACACAATCAAAGTTTTCTAATTGAGGAGATTGAGTTCATAATGTTTTATAAATTTCAAAATAACCCCACTTACCATATTCTCCCATATTACTAATGAATTAATTTCACATTATTAGTTTTTATTTTTTTATCTCTCCTACATGTCAAAATGGTGTCTTTTTATTGGTTATTGATTTTCCTTTTTAATCCATTGCATCATATTAAAAAAACGTAAATATATAAATGGACATTCCACTTAATTTGGGTTAATTAAATTTTATGCACAATATTATATTAATTGCCAAAAAAAACCCAATTTTCAAATTTCATCTATCCTACATGGCAAAATAGTGTCCTTTTATTGGTTAACGAATTTTTTTTTTATTATAATATTTTCATTAAAAATATCGTGGGACTGAAATGCAATTATGTTCCACCACATATATCACATATTATTATTAATTTCATAATAACCCAACTTACCATATTCACCCATATTACTAATTAATTAATTTCACAACAATAATTTTTAAATATTATCTCTCCTACATGTCAAAATGGTGTCTTTTTATTGGTTATTGATTTTCCTTTTGGGTCCATTGCATCATATTAAAAAACGTAAATATATAAATGGACATTCCACTTAATTTGGGTTAATTAAATTTTATGCACAATATTATATTAATTGCCAAAAAAAACCCAATTTTCAAATTTCATCTATCCTACATGGCAAAATAGTGTCCTTTTATTGGTTAACGAATTTTTTTTTTATTATAATATTTTCATTAAAAATATCGTGGGACTGAAATGCAATTATGTTCCACCACATATATCACATATTATTATTAATTTCATAATAACCCAACTTACCATATTCACCCATATTACTAATTAATTAATTTCACAACAATAATTTTTAAATATTATCTCTCCTACATGTCAAAATGGTGTCTTTTTATTGGTTATTGATTTTCCTTTTGGGTCCATTGCATCATATTAAAAAACGTAAATATATAAATGGACATTCCACTTAATTTCCGTTAATTAAATTTTATGCACAATATTATATTAATTGCCAAAAAAACCCAATTTTCAAATGTCATCTATCCTACGTGGCAAAATAGTGTCTTTTTATTGGTAATTTTTTTTATTTTATTATAATATTTTCATTAAAAAAATCGTGGAACTGAAATGCAATTATGTTCCACCACATATATCACAAATTATTATTAATTTCAAAATAACAAAACTTACCATAGTCACCCATAGTATTAATGAATTAATTTCACAATAAATTTTATGTTCAATTTATATTAATTACTTTTTTTGTTACCTTTTTTATATTCCCTAACTCTACTATAAATTAACATTCAACATGATGTACATTCTTCAACTTTTCCACATACTTTTTTTTTTCTGTTTCGGAGATATGGAGAGAATTCTTGAAAAAGAATTGCATTGGTATCACCTACATGCAATGGTATATTCATCATAGTCTCTTTATTAGTGTAACAATGAATTATTGCTTTATTTTGTATCTGATTTCTTCATTCAATTTTATATGTAGCCTTTAAAGAATGCTTTTGTTGAAGCTTCTCGGTTGACCGGATTGTCTACTATCAATATTCGATACGAGGAGGGAAATTATTTTCAAGTTGCGGTATCTTCGCGCCAAAAACATGGAAAAATGTATATGTTGTTGACTAAGGGTTGGACAGAGTTTTGTTACGCACATAACATGGTTTGCGGCCACACGTATTCTTTTTTTTTTAACCAATGGGATGATGTACTTGAGGTGTGGCACGGCCCAGCCTTTCCAACGATATGATATGTCTTCGCCCTCATTAAAGTTTTATTATTAATAATATGAGTTGCATCGATTTATAAATAATTTCCATTTCTTTTAGTGTTTTATTTATCAGTTGAAAGAGCATTGTATACCATTAACATAATTGTGCGCATCCACATGAAAACGAATATCCATAAAATAATTAAATAAATATGTAGAAACGATAAAACAATTATAGTATATTACAAAAATAGTCACAAAAAAAAAATATATATATATATATATATATATATATATATATATATATATATATATATATATAAAATGAAGGTTCGGAAAACGAACTATTTTCAGTGCAATATCTCATAGTATAAACTACTGCATTAACCAACTCTTAATTTCGTGATTTAACCATTGAGCTAGAATGTCGTAATATATTATAAGCTCTTCTAATTTAATTTAAAATTATGCATTCATAATTGTACAAATATAAAACTTATAATATAATATAATAGCAATACCATAATTAACCTCTGTTTATTTATAGTATAAACTTATAATATAATATTATTTTATCATATAGTAGTATTTTATAATGGCCAATATAATTGAGATGATTATCTATTTTAGCATAAGTCCAATTCACAATTAATGAAAACAAACACTCTTATTAAATACGTATATGTATATTCCTACATTAATGCCTAAGTTAGAGTAAATGTGAATAATGTCACTTTTAAATATTCCATTTGTTTTCTAAATAATCCCTAAATTATAGTACATGTGGATATTATATTAAGGGAAAAAAATATATACTCTCGGTTATATATATATATATAAATAAATGACTAATCCTAATTTATGTATTTTATTTATAGGAAATTCCTTAATTCTACTTAATTACATGGAATATGAATATTTATTAACTATAAATTACTCTAATTTCGGTACTATTAAATATAATTGTATTTTATTTACTATAATCACGGAACTAAAATTTAGGAATTATAATATCATTTACTATAGGAATCATTTACTATGATTTAGGAATTATTAACTATCATCATATTATATATACACGGTTCGTTTCATTGTTTATTCTAAACTGCAGGATAATATTGTTCTTTCGATACTTCATCAGCCGACCATCGTTCTCTTTTTGTGAATCGTGAGTATAATATCATTTTAGAATAATCTTTTACCTTTTTTTTTTAATTTTTTTC